GATAGATAGAGTATGTTCTTAGCGCCAATATCATTGTCGAAAGAACATCAACTAAAGAAATAACCAGCCAAAACAAAAATAATCAAGAGTTTACTGATAAAGATTGTCATTGAAACTGTAGAAGAGTATTTCATCAAAAAAATAAAAATTAGATTGCGTCAAAAACAATTCCAGCAAAACTCTATTTTTTCCGGCAAGACTAATACGGATTTGATTTTTTTTTTTTTAAATTACTAAAAAATCAAACCATAAAGAACCACAACATAGAAGAAGAAGAAGTAGAATATACAAATCTGAATTGAGTTTTGAAAAGAAAGTGAATTTAGGAGTGGCGGTTGTGTTCTGAGAAGAAAAGGGGAAGATGAACACGGGGTGGTTGCGTGCGTGGGTGGGGGTATTGTGCTGAAAAGAAATTGGGGAAGGATGATTTTTTTCTTTTCCTTTTTTTTTGGGGCTAAAAACAATTTTTTTTTCTTGAACTGTTATTATGGTCCATGCCACATGTCTTTTTTTTATTGGTTACTATGCCACATCATTCGCGAATGTACAACACACTCTCTCTATTTTTAGTTGATTGTCAGAAAATGTTTGATAAATATATTTTTTAACTAATAAAGGTGTTCAATTGGAACAAGCTTAAGATAAGGTGTCCAAATGACGAACAACTTTAAAGGGCTGACTTAAGCAAAAAAAAAATATTGACATAGTCAATTGAAAATATGTCAAGCATTATATCTTGAATATTGTTTCCATTTTGTTGCTTTTCGTCATTATCCTTGTAAAGATTAATTTATATAGGTTTTCTTCCACCAAACTTAAAAGAGTATTCTATGCTCTCTTATTTTAGGGAAAAATGTCTGAAATATATTCAAAATTTGACCGAAATTGTTGTTATAATATCGAACTTTGAAAAAGACCTTTTACCCCTCTGCACTATTAGTAGTATATTTTAAAGGTATATATGTGCTCACGTGGATATAAGAAATATTGCATCATTATAAATAATAATGTGTCCACGTAAGCACATATATACTTTTAAAATACACTATTAAATAGTGCAGGGAGGTAAAAGGTCCTTCATAAAGTTTGGTATCGTAACATCAATTTCGGCCAAAGTTGAAATATTTTTCAGATCCTTTTCCTTTTCTTTTTTTTTATATATAAGTGTTTTTTCCCCAATCAAATACACTAATTATGTATTATTATATTTAACTTTATCCAATTATATACATAATTATTTATGAAATCAATAAACACTAAATATTTGTCAATTTTTTTCCGATTAAATAAATCAAATCAACTCATAAAAAGTGAAGTTACGATAAACTTATAAATATGATAACACAAAATATAAAATAAATAAGACAAAGTTAGCTTGGAAGCTGCATTGACCCCAGCATGTCACCAGAAAACAAGCAAAGCAAACAAAATGAAAGGGCCCTCTTCAATTAATCGACAGATACATTGTATTTGCCCACCAAACGGACTTATACACCCCGTTGAAATAATATGTCGTGATTTTTAAAAATAATTATCTTAAAAATATTTATTATTTTAAAAGTTAAACTTCTCATTTTAGATATTCTATTTCAAGGCATGAATAAAGATAAAATAACTAAATAAAAATTCTTTTTAAAAAGACGTAAATAGAACTATAAATAATTTGAAACGAAGGAATAAGATTGATTATAGCCAAATAATAAGATAATGAAAATTCAAAACTAAGGTTTGACTATGAGAATTTTTTGGTTTTATTCCATTATTAAATTACTGGCTGATGTGTGTGCTTCCATCACTACTTCCTTCATTATTAAGCACTCGTACATCTTACAAGTCGCAACAAAATATTACTCTACTATTTATCTTATCCACTTTATATGATAGCACTAATTTTCTCTAATTTTGAATAATTTAATATATTTTATAGCTATATTTTACATCTTATATTCAATCGAATAAATATTCACATAAAATGAAATGTTGAAAGAAAATTGCTTAATATATTTTGATTTATATAAACTACCTTTCGATAATCAATTTGTCTAAAAATATAACAATTCAAATCCAACTCACCAACTATATAGATTGATGAACCGACAGTTTAGAATCTTTCTTAGTTCTACATTAAATTTGAAAAATATAAAATATAAAAAAATTATATTTTATTCATTTGAAAAGAATTTTTTTTAAAGAAATTGACTAAATTAGAAAATAGATCAATCAAATTGCGATAGATTAATAAGTGGTTGTCTCTTAGGTTTGTATTGATCAACTGAAATTGTTTTTCTTGTATATTTTCTTTTATTTATTTATATATTTATTTTCTTTACTACTTACTAGCATTATTTTTGTTTAGGTTCCTATATTTTTTATTTACGTAAATTTATAATAATATTTTTCTTAAATTCTCTACAATGAAGAAGCTGGTACCACGTGCAGTGAAGTCAATGAAAATGAGTTGACCATTTATAGTTGGTAAATAATTAGAGATATTCAATTTTTTGTTAAGTATTTTGAATAGGTCAAACATATTTTAATTTTTAACCAAGAAATAAGTTTGCCAACTACTTACTAAAAGGAAATAAATAATTTGGTGTCTGCCAACTCAAACCTTGATACATGACTGGCAACATCTTTCATATTTGTCAAAAACAAAAACTATATTATTATGATATAATAGCCTAAAAAAGTATTCAAAAATTGAGATAAAGTCAGACAATTAATTACCAATAGAGGAGTACGAATTGAGTGGAGGTACGAATGAGCGTTATGGTGGAGTGATAATTTTTATTTTTTTTTAATTGAGATTTTAATCGTGATAGAGTGACAAAGTATTTTTTAATTTTTTTTTAGTTGAGATTTTGATCATGATGAAGTGATAATGTTTTTTTTTAAATTTTTAATCAAGATTTTGATCATGATAGAGTGCTGAGTACTTTTATATTTCTAATCGAGATTTTGGATTAAGTTCCTTTAGATAAGAGGCATCAATGTTAGAAAATGCTTTGTACGCTAAAAATATTCATTGAAGCGTTTTGTCTGGATAATTTTAGTTTTCTCTTAGAGTTAAAATTGAACTTTTGACAAAATTTATTGGAGATGCATATTACCTTCAAACTGCAACTTCAAAATGAAATAAAGTTTCAAATTCAAATTATAATTTTATTCTCATTTCACAAATAAATGTAATATCTTATAAATTGAAACATCTTTATTTTTCTATAAGAAAACATCTTTAATTGCAAGTAAAGACCACAAATTTATCTTGAATATTTACTTTTTAAATATTTATAAACAAATTAAAATATTAAATATTATTTTTTTAAAGACAAAGTGATCAAGAAAAGTTCCTCTTCAAAATCGACTCAAAATAGCAAAGTATTTTCCTATATTTTTGGAGATCAAACACATCTCAAATGAAGGTCCAAATCATTCTACATTCGAAGAATATATTACTAACAACCCTCAAATCAAGAAAAATATTTTTTTTAAAAAAGAATCATGAAAATACATCAAATTGTACTATCTTAATAAATTACATCACTAATAAGCACCAAAATTAATACTCCCTCCGTCCACAATTGTTTGACAGGTATACTAAAAATAGATGTTCAAGATTAATTGTCAATTTAAACAATCAAGAAATAACTAGTCACTTTTTTCCAATTTCTCCCTAAATAATTGTGCAGTTCAATTGAAAAGTTATGTGAACTTTTGGTATTCTTGATATAGTAGAGTTATATTAGTCAAATTACACCTTGTATTAAATTTTCCTTGAGGGATGTGCATGACCTTACCCTGACAAACAATTGTGGACGGAGGGAGTAATATCAGAAAAAGCAAAGTATTACACAACATAAATTTAAATTAATCGACTTTCAGTATCAGCCATAACATAAAAAAAAAAAAAAACAAACCAGCAAATGGCTACCTTTTTCTTCCTAAATGTGTATATTCCAAACTTATGGCATTAATTAATTAAATATAAGAGGAGAAGCTCACAAGAAACCCACACACAACTACCAAGTGGTTACTAACTAAATAAAAGTAAAAAAAGATTGCTATTTCATCAAGAACTTGCCCCCTTTTAGAAACATATTTGCCAAACTGCCATTATTGATTTATCTGTATTTAATCGCCTTTCTGGTTTTCACTAATTGAATAAAACAATCACTTTTGACATGAGGATTTATTTAAAAGTGAAAGTTTTCAGTGAAAATTTAGGTTTAATTGGATTCAAAATGAGTATGAATATGGAATGAGAAAAAGAAATCAATTTCTTTTATTCTATCAGTACTTTGTAACTTAAGTTTTAGATTTAAATTTGAATTAATAAAAGAATTTTAAAGAAAAATAAAACTCCAAATTATTATCTATATAAAAAATTTCATTGATTTCTCAACTTATTTTTACTTGAAAGAAGAGGGAATCGAGAGAATAATATATATATATTTATATAATGTTATTACGAAAGAAAATTTTAACTTGATAATTTTGTACGTTAGTAATTTTTATACAAGAACAATTTGTTCTGATAAAATAACTGAATTTGAACTTATAAACAACATATTTTTTTCATAAACAATCAAGAAAAATAGAAATTATTATTTAATAAAACAAAAAAATATAAAAAGTCAACTTATAAAATCACTAGTGAATGAGTAACGAGATAAAGTCAATATTATAATTTTAAAAAAATTAAAAATATTTATGAAATTTATGTATTATGCTATTTTAAATGAACGATGACTAAAACAAGCTAAAAATTATGATAAGAGCAAAATAATCCAACTATATTTTATTAAAATTAATTCAAATATAACAAAATTTCACAAAAATTAGTTACCTGAACGCCGGATAAAACTAAACAGAAGTGGACAAGACCCAGCAGATGAGGGAGTGGTATTTCCGTAGTAATTGTAAAAAACAAGGGCAGTTTTCCACACAACAAATAGCCGCCAACTATTATACCCGAAAGCCTTCACAAAATTGTGGACTTCTCACTTTCCTGGCATCTGAATATCCTCCCCTTTTTCTCCGGCGAGTTCTCGCCGGCCGTCGTCGAGAGCAAAATCATCATTTCCCTTTTCCGTTCACTTAATACCCTTTTGAAAAACCCTAATTTTGATCCGATTCTTTCAGTTCACCGTTCAATTCTTATACTCATACCGTTGACCTAACTTTTCAATTCACCGATTTCTTCTCCAATTCTCTGATTTCATCAATCCCGATGGCATTTCTTCGCTTCTTGTAAGGTTTTTACAACTCTCCCCGTTAGTTTCCGAACCCACAATTCTCTACATCTTGCTCGGTTTATTACAATTTGTTATTATGGCGATCCGGTTCACCGTTACCTATTCCGGCTACCTAGCCCAAAACCTAGCTTCATCGGCTTCTTCGAAAGTCGTGGGTTGCAGGTTTTTTCACGAATGTACTGTCCGATCTCGAATTTTCCATCCACCAGCTCAAAAACCCGAATCAAATTGCTCCGATTTCCGCCGGACCAAACCGAAACCACGGCCGGTGAGTAATACTTACTCTTCCCGGTCGTTTTCGTCCAGTTCAGTGTGTTCGTCGTTTGCTTCTGAGCTTCTTGGCGGAAGTTCGAATTCACCTTTGGTTGTTGGATTGATTTCGCTGATGAGGTCTTCTTCTGGGTCTTGTACCATGAATGCTTTGGGGATTTCGCCTTTGAAGGCGTCTTCCTTTCTTCCATTTTTTCAGGGCTCGAAATGGCTTCCTTGCAATGAGCCCAGTATTGGGTCCTCGGCGAGTTCCGAGGTGGATAAAGGTGGGACTGAAACTAGGTGTAGTGAAAGTTTTGTTCGGTCGGAGCCTTTGTCCAATGAAATGAAGGTTTCCAAGAGCCGTTGGGTGTCAAAGTTGTTGAACATCTGCTCTGATGATGCAAAAGCTGCTTTTACAGCTTTGAGTGTTAGCATAATGTTTAAGTCATCTCTGGCTGAGCCAAGATCAATTCCATCTGCTTCCATGTCCCCTACTCTGGATAAGGGTGACCGTATAATGGCTGAAAAGGTATATTTAATTCTTTCTTTTTGCTGAAGTTTGTTGATAGAGCTTGAAGACGTAGGGATACTGGCAAGTAGCTCGAATATATTGCTGTTTTTCATTGGCAAATAACTGGCCTGAATATGTGATTGATGGTTACCATGATATTTGGTGTCTTGATATTCTAGTATTTTCCTATTCAGTTTTTAGAGTCTTACTAGAATTATTTGATCTGATGGCACTTTTTAACTGAAATATGAATCATAGTCAATAGATTGATTGAATATATTATCCAACCCGAGCCTAATTGCTTACTAGTTTATTTGGTCTATCAATGTTTTTGCAAAAGCATCGTTTAGTTTCCTTGCACCATAATAATTGTGTTAGACGTTGATGCCTTCCTTCTCCATTTTTGTTATCAATGATTTTGTTTGGAGTTCAGAAATGTTGAATGAATGCCCATTGTGTTCTGGCAAATTCATCTTTTATTGAGCTGATTTCTTTAATTAAGAAGTCTGTCTTGCATCCAACCTTGTTGAGAGGGTTGTACAAGTAGTGCTAAGCAACCAATTGTCCTGATTGGGGAAAGAAAGCTCATTATGCTTATGATTAGTTCTATCTTTATATCTTGATTCCTTTCTTGGAACAGATGCGTCTACTGCAATTGTTAGTGAAACTTTGACATGTTGGGATTCTATGCAAATTAATATTTTATGTCCTGATTGTTTACACTTCTCACTGATTATTATGCTTCCTGTTGCATTTCAGGTTTCATATTTTTTTCGGCAACCTGACATTTCAGACATAGTGATATTTAAAGCACCACCAATCCTTCAGGTACGCCAGTTGCTTGTAGTGGGAGATTTTTACTCTGCACACGCATTTATCAACAGGCAGTTTTCTGTATCTTGCAGCATATTTTTGGTTGTAGTGCTGGAGACGTCTTCATTAAAAGAGTTGTTGCATTAGCTGGGGATTATGTTGAAGTAAGTTCTTCTTCTCTTACCATGTTTTGCTAGTAGTTTTGTCAAGTGTTCTATCTTATTTAAGGATTACACTTTATGCAGGTGCGTGAGGGTAAACTGTTTTTGAATGGTGTTGCTCAAGATGAAGATTTCATTTTAGAGCCCATTGCCTATGAAATGGAACCAGAGGTAATGCATATATTTTGTCTACATGCAATGATGTCTATATGCTGTAATTTCTTCAAAGATCTAATACACTGCTTTGTCATTTTATAGCTTGTTCCTGAAGGCTATGTGTTCGTGATGGGGGACAATCGCAATAATAGCTATGATTCTCACGACTGGTGAGCATTGAACGATCTAGTTTATTTTTTAAATAGAGAAGCAACAATTCACTGCTGAGGAAGAGTTGCTGTAGTAATGTTCAACCTTGTCTTCTGTCTCTGCCCTCCCCTAAAACCAAGCCTTCCTTTAAATACGTTTAAAAAATTCCCTTGTTTGTGAGTGTGATAATCCCATTGGGATCACTTGTCCATGGTGGGTTAGGAAGCTGAAACAATAAGAACCAAGAAGCAGTGGTGTCTCATGTTCTCCATGGGAACCCTTCATAGTTGTAATAGCAAAAAAGAACCCTTAAATCATTTGGTGTTCTTGTTTGTTTATCTCTATGCAGAAGTTTGATCTCATCTGTACTGTCTAATTTCTCAGGGGTCCACTTCCCGTTGCAAACATTGTCGGTAGGTCAGTATTCAGATATTGGCCCCCATCCAGGGTGTCCGACACCCTGCATGGATCAGTAATGGAGAAGAGAGTAGTTGCAGTTTCTTGACCCTGTCTAAGATGGAGGTGTTCTACTGACTTCTTTCATCTCTTTATTCTTTTACTGATCATTCTCTGCCTTCTGGCTCATTGGATCAGCTGTATAATCTTTCCCATCCCACCTGCTGTTGTTCGATCCACAATTTGAACAACCAACTTTGAGGATGGATTATCTTAATCCGCCTGTGTGATTGTTTTTCTCAAGGGCCCTATATTGGGTGTTTCTGCAATTTTATGTAGTGGAAAGTCTCAGAGATAAAGCTGATCATTGGAATTAGCGACTCAGTTGTCATGATCTGAAGAACTGGAACATTTTCCCTTTCTCCTAGACCGTGGAGTGGAGAACCAGACTAGGCGAGACACGATAGTGTCTATATGGACCCAACAAAGTTTCAGCTGTAAATCGTGACACAATATTCTGAGGCCGAACATGTTTAATATTTGCTTGTATTCGTGCTGAATGTAGTGAATTATGAAGTATGGTCTCTATGTAACAATTTTCTGCAGTGTTAAGTTATGAACTTACAAGTGAACAACCTTAAAATGTGGCATATATTGTTTTGAATTGCGGAAGGCAATTAGCCTCGAGATTTGCCATCCTTTTGAGATGAGTTTTCTTGGCTTCTTAGCGCCGCTACCCTAGTATCTTTTTGGCTATTCCAATATCTATGAATGAGCTATATAATATAGTGAAACGAAAGTTCTATAAAATGATTGTAAGCCAGTAATGTTACAAACTTAAATGTCATGCAAACAGTCCAACAAGATGAGTGTGGCAAATATATGAATTGCTAAAATGGTTGTGTATACATCAAATGCACGATAAGTTGATGACACTGTCAATCTATTGTGCCGATCTTATACCTCTTCACTCAATTTAAGCGTGTAATTAATTCTTCGGAACAAATTTATGATGCATTTGATGTTTTTTCCCAAATTTAAAATGACAATATCTGACGGAATATGAAATCTAATGAAAAATAGGATACAAACATATATTGAATTGCTTTTTTTTTTTTTTTATGAAAATAACAATTTCAAAGTCTTTACGTGTAAAAATGAAAAGATTTCGTAAAAAAAGGTATAGAACTAAAAAAAAAAGGAATTCGGATATCCATTTGAAATTTGTTTACGTAATAAGTATTATACGTAAACTTATTGACTTGGCACTACGCATAATTCATGATGTACAATCATGTACTGCAGTGTCCCAAATAGTCATTTTCCTTCTCCCTGTGCAGATCTAATTGTTCTCTGCAGAAAAAGCAAAGCTTGTTAATCCCATCGCCATTGCAGAGCAAACTCAAAGACTGACAATGATCCATTTCCCTTCTTCTTCTACTACTACTAGTTTTCTCCTACTCTTTTTGGTCCTTTTTACTCTATCCCCATTTCCAGTTTCAATTGCCACTTCATCCACCATACCTTTCAACATCTCTCACTTCCTTTATCCAAGAATCAACTACGAGGAATATCCCCAATCTTCACCTAATCCTCCTTCATTTCTCGAGGTTTTGTTCAATTATCCAACTGGGTTTTTGCCTAATTACTGTTATTTGTTCAGATTCTCTAATGGGTTTTGTGTATTTACTGTTATTTGCTCTTTTTCTGTAATGGGTTTTGACTAATTACTGTTATTTGTTCCGTTTCTCTAATGTGTTTTGCTTAATTACTGTTATTTGTTCCGTTTCTCTAATGTGTTTTGCTTAATTACTGTTATTTGCTCTGTTTCTCTAATGGGTTTTGACTAATTACACTATTATTTGTTCTGTTTCTCTAATTTATGGTTCTATTTGTATATGTTATTCAGGACGTGTTAAAGGGAATTGCTGAGAGAGAGAAATGGGATTTACAGGACTTGAGAGTTTCCAAATTGGATGTAAAGAAGTCAAAGTTTGGGACTTTCAGGAAGTACGAGTTTCGGGTCAGAATTGGGAAGACGGAATTCGTATTCATGATGGCAGACGAAGTATCTCAGTGGAAAAGCTTTCACTTTCCTAACAAAAATGAATCCGACTTCGAGTCTTTGGTTAAAGAGATTGGTTCCAAGGTCACTCTTGATGTCCTAAAAATCCAAGGGCCATTCGAATTATACGCTACTGGAGATGATTACCTCTCCTTGACCTTTCCCGTATGTTCCCCGAATCCTTTAATATTGCCTTTGTTTGTAGCAGTACATTTTGCAAGTTACATCAGATGGTTTTCCTGTAGATAGTCTCTGCTTCCTATCTAATGTTGTTTCCTGAGCTGCATTTATGTCTTGTATTTGGATGTAATTGGCTGCATACACCTGAAAGGATTTACTGGTGCACCCACTTCAGCTGGAGTTTTATGCATATAATTGAATTTTTTAAAATACATACGCATAATAAGGCAGCATCCGTTGTCAGAAAGAGTAGTGGGTAGAAGCTCTATCTATATGGTTGAATTTTTTTAAATGTATACACACATGAAGGCTTCACCCGTCATCACAAAGGAGTAGTGGGTAGCACCCAGTTCAGCTGTACTGCTGTAGTTCTATGTGTATAGTATAAAAATGTGAACTTGCACCCACTGTTACAAATGAGTAGTGGTACTTAACAGTCGCTGACTTGAAATCATAGATCCACTCAGATTGGTTGCAAAACTATGGTTGTGTTGTAATTGAACTATACTATCTTAAAGATGTAATATTTGGTTATTGATCTTTATATTGGAGTGCCTGGTGAAGTAGACAGTTCGATGAAGCAAATCTTCTCCCATGACACTTGTCCACCAGGCTTATTTTCTGCATTTGCTTAATCAAATCCACCATGTAGTTTTTAAAACTCTTTGCATATCAATGTACTACTGGCCAAAACTCCGGAAGTACTTAGGTTCAACATATTTATGGAGTGCTAACTCAACTTGATGTTTTAATTGACATATCAGATTCTAGAAAGGAATCTGCAATTATATCGGCAGAAGTTGTTATAGGCTGATGTAGTTTAGTCCAAAATAGAGCTGCTGCATATGCACAGAACTTCTTTGGATGCAGCTTTTCTCGAACTTCGACTCTTTCACAGGGAGAGAACATCAAATTTGTGGTTGCATCATATATTTGTTCAATGTATTGACTGAAGTAGGGAGAAAATGCCAAACTAGCGTATGTTCTCTGTGAATGATCTTCTATCTATTATGTTTCTTCGTGTATATGAATATTATCATGTTGTATCACAGAGAAAATCTTTTCCCTGTGCCTGGACATGTTGACATGTCTACCCTGTTTGGATGTTGATGTTTAACATATTCTCTTAAAATGGATATAGATTTGTGCTTTGATCTCTTCTTGCTAGTTCGCAGCTAGTTGCTTTAATGTGATTCGTCATGAGTTGATGCCTTATGTGTTCTATTCGAGCACTGAAAGTAAGATTTTACTAATCATGTTTTCATGGTGGGCTAACAACATTATGTTATTTACCTTTTTAACAGCTGAACTCTTCCTATACTGGGTTGAAAAAGATCCTTGTTGGTGAGGGCATCACTGTAGAAGTTAAAGGTGCTGATGAAATATCAATGTTCAACATCTCTGATTTGCTTAAATTAGTAAATGGAAGCATTTTGACCAAGACAGGAAGTGGTCAATTTAGATATATGTCGCAATCGTCCTGCTTACCATTACTTCCCGTACATGTAAGGGGACCTGCGTCAGTACTTGCCTATATAACCAGAAACCCCTGCTTAAGAATTGAAACTGCATCTGTATCCAAAAGATCTATCAAGTTGCTTTCTGAAAAATGTTATACAAGGCATATCTACAGAAAGTGGAGCTTGTACAATGATTTTCTGAGCCAGAAGATAACATTACTGGAAAAAATTCTAAGGAGGTTTCTAGGTGGAAAAACCAGTGAAATTGCATGTTTCAATCTCATAAAAGTGAAAGTTAAAGACTTGACCCTTTTCCGCTTCCAGTTAGAGCTGGAAAGAGGTATTCAAAACAACGACACATATTGGACTACTTTGGGGGAGTGGAGAACAAGGCCAGCTGTTGAACATTCGTGGTTTGAAGTAACAGCAAGGTTTGAGGCAGAGATCTTGAAGCCACGTTTGATTAAGAAGGTCAGACCTTTTATTGAAGTAGATTCATCGTCTTGGAGTAATTTGATGTCAAATATGTCCTTAACCAAAATTTCTTCTTTTCTTGTCCCACCAGAGCCCTTAACATTGGATGTTAGATGGTAGGGAAATTTATATCTAGTCCTGGCCTGCTGTAATTTAGATTCTTATCTTCCTTACCGTGAAAATTGAAAATGGTTACCTAATTTGTACATCATATCCTTTGTATATTGAAAGTCGTTGGAAAGGAACTATTTAAAAAACAGTGGTTGGAAAGGAATGAGTTACCCTGCTTTATAAATCTGAGGAAGTGACAATTATTCGAGATTGAAGATGAGTTTTACCATGCTTTATGAAAGTTTATCACTTGCTCTCCAAATTCACTAAATGAATGCTTGGATTAAGAGGTTCATGTGAATTTCCCTAATTACATGAACTAGCTAAAGGAACCTCTAAAATGGTAGGTCTCCTCTTTACCTATGTCCCAAGTTCACATCAGATAATCCTTGCTCTACTTGCCTTTAATTTGTGCTCTCTAACCTATCTTTTGAGGGAAATGTTAAGTGGGAGGGATTGCCCCTTAGGATAGAGCCAACGTGTCTTTGAGAGTCTGCAATTGGCTTGTGGTCCAGTTAACAGGGTCTTGCATTATGATCTGGTGCTTGCTCCATTCATCCTGGGTTACTAGCAGATGAAGATGTGATGCTGCTTATTTATGTGCGAGAACTTAAATTCTGTCAGTAGAAAACCCAGATTTTAAAGTATGCAATTCAGGATGTTAACTGTCCAAGTATCCTTGATTTCTAACACGTTTGCTTTGTCTGTGGAATTGCCGATACAATCCACTTTGTCACAGTCCTTATTCTTTTACGACCAGTTAATTGCTTAAAGTTTAACTTAGCTACTTTGTCCTAGTTCTGGTATTGCAAAAGGGGAAACAGAAGAAGAAGAAATGCATTGTAAGATCAAGTTCTTTCAGTGTAAATGGCAACTAAGTAACAAGAAATTCAAAACTAAATATAGCAAGGAGTGGTTTAGCAATGGATAGATTAGAATGGTTGGAATGTATTACATTCTACTGCAACAGGGTACTTGCATCAATTAACAATTCAAGTCTCAAACTTTCATGCCAGGATTTCTTCTCCTATAGATATGGTTTGCACCTTGGAATATTTGATCAACTAAAACCACTGATGCAGGACTACTTGGACTATATGTAATATGTTCACAACCACAATATTATTATATGACATAATTTGGGTCAAACATCAGTAATTCCCTTTGCCTTCTCATCAGTGATAGGATCTTCTTGCTTCAGTTCTGGCTTCTTATACTTGTACCAAGAAGCGCATAGTAAATAGAAACCAAAGTTCAGCACACTGACTCCTGCTAGCAACCAATAGAAGTAGTCGAGCTTGTCTCTGTTCAAGTTGTTATTAGCTAACCAGCCACCACTCACCTTGTTAATTACACTCACCACTACTGAGCTTGTGAAGTACCCAAATGCCAGCGAAGACCAAGAAATGGCCATGCCCAGTGATTTTAAGCCTGATGTGCTCTCTGCATAGAAGAAATTCATCAATCCCACCAATGCAAATATTTGAGCCATTGCAGATATTACAAATTGGCATCCAAGCCAGAACACGCTCATAGGTAATGGACTGGCTGAGTCAACCATGTTATGCTTAATGGAAACTGATTTCCTGTGACTTTCTACAACTGCAGCCACTGCCATAGAAACTGCTGAAAGTACTTGTCCAACACCTATTCGTTGAAGTTGTCGAATCCCAGAAGGGATCCCTGTGAATTTTCTTGCTATTGGAACAAAGATACGATCATAGACTGGGATCAGGAAGAGTTGGAACAATAGAGGAATTACAGGCATGGAAGGCCCTGGGATTTCAAAGTTTTGGATTTTCCTGTTCATTGTCATGCTTTGTTGGATAGTGAAGGTCTGGAATTGAGCCATACAAGTGTTCATGAAGACGGTGCTCAGTATAATTGGGAGCATTCTGACTACAATCTTTGTTTCTTCAACTTGTGAGATAGTACAAAGGCTCCATGGTCCATGGGCACTCGTTGTAGATGCTTCTTGGTTGTCCCTCAGTATGGTTGCCCTGTCCAAAAATCTGCACATATTATGGGAATTTGGTTAAGTAAAGCAATATGCCAACAAGAAACTGAAACTAAAAAGGTGTTATTAAGTACTTGAATTGATCAGTCCTTTGAAGAATCTCAGTTCCATTTTCAGGTTCTCCACTTCTGATCTGATGTAAATCATCTTTGTTCTGTGGTAGTGGGAGATTTCTGTTTCTAAAAGCTGCAACAAGAACCTGTGTAATGCGCATCAGAGGGTTTCCTTTAGGAACATTGCATCTGTAAAACTGTTTTTCCCATGGTCAAGAGCAGGATTGGCAAACCAACTGCTACAGAGCAGACACCAAATGACCAATCCCATCCCTGATTGTCACTTATCCAGACTAAAACTGTAACGCCAAGTATGGCTCCAACGGTGCTGTAGAACAGTAGCCAATTGAAGTAACTTGATAGCTTAGCAGCCCCTTTGGGATCCTTTTCATCAAATTGATCAGCACCTAATGATGGCAAAGCCGCTTTGACTCCACTGTTTCCAAGTGCTATCAGATAAACACCTCCATACAAGAGTGTCAATTGACCTCTATTTGCAGATTCACATAGATTGTTTTGGCTTAAAGGTACATCCTTGCAGGGAAATGGTCTCAGTTGACTGAAATGTGCTTGAACTCCTAGTAGTGCAAATCCCTAAGATTGAAAGAATTATCAAAGTCAATTCTTGATCCTGCAGGGACATATAAAATATCTGTTGTTTTGTTTCTTGCATAACCAAGATGTAAAAATAAAGAAGTACCAAAGCTTTAATGATGCCAAACAGAACACAAGTCTTGAATCTAGAGAAGTATGTATCTGAGAGAAAGGCTCCAAATAATGAGAGCAAGAATGCTGTTCCCATGAAGTTTGTGACAGTATTGGCAGATTTTGTTAAGCTGAAGTTCATATACCCATAGAAGTAAGTCACCAGGCTCACACCATTTGAAATCAAAGCCATGGTACTGATCCCCACCACAACTGCATGATCATATGTAAGAATATCAGAACTCCAAAGTTAAAAGATCAATGACGGAGCCAGGAATTTTAACCCCTAACCATCATCACATATATTAGTTTTTTCGACGAAAGGACTTCAATTGAATCTCCCTCCTATCAAGAAAGTTAAACAATTAGATACTTACCATAGACAAAAAGAGCTGCTCTAGTTCCCCCTTGCTTTGAAGTTTCTTTTCCAGTCTTGACATTTCTGCAAATTCCCTGCAATAATTATCAAATAAAACTATTTACAGCTATTTAGCCAAACATTTCTTAATTTTGGAAAATACAATTCTTATATTTCATATGCTAAAAACATACAATTACAAAGGCAGCTTACCATTTCTATTGCAGATTCTTATTTGCAATCCAAACTTAAATGTGACAAATACTTTGAGATGTATATATATCTATGTTTTGGCAAACTCAACTTGAGAGTAGTTTTCTGTTAGCTTCTTGTCTTGTAATAAATAAATATATACTACTACTAATAATGTTGAACTTTTTAGGTAGCCTCTGCTTTTGTTCAATTTTCTTTTTCTCATGCAAAATTATTGTTACGAAACTTTCATGAAGCAATTTATTTTGGATTTTTTGAATATCTTATATTTTAAAAATAATATCCACGCACTCAACAAAAAAAGAGAAAAAAGATAAAAAGGAAGAAACGTCAAAAGAAAAAGCAAAACACAAAAGTAAAAGAAAATCAAACATTTTTCTAATCTAAATGGCACGATAAAACTCTTGTTTGATTATCATTAATTGATTTGATTGAACGAAAATGAAGATGAAATATAACAAGGGACCAAGTTTAAGTGCCTACTTGTGCATACAAAGTTTGAGGTCATAGATGTCAAGTTAAAGGGCATTTTATATATTATATTTATTTTTAATACAACAATCCAAATAGTCGAGCTAATTTCAGATAATTAACCCCCAAAATAACTTGTGTTCAAACCAAACAACTCCTAATAATTGTACTTAGAAAGTTTGTTGAGTGTAACAATAGTGTTTTTAAAAATCGGGGCACAAGACGAGGCATTTTATGTAGCAGGAAGTGAGGCGTAAGCCCTGAAATATGAAACATAAGTCAACATGAGAATATAGAGAACTTTGACAACATTATGAATATCTCAAATGCTCAATAAACTTTGAATAGTTTACTTAGAAAGTCACTCAGCTTTATTTTATAACTCAGAAATCACTTAACTATTGATATTTCACTTAGAAAGTCACTAAACTATTGATATTTTACTTAGAAAGTCACTCAATTAATCTTAAATGATTTTTTGATTAAATTTTGTTGACTCTAATTTTTGTTTTAAACTATTTTTTTAACAGATAATAAGATATCCATTTTAATTATCTTATTGACCCGCTCCAATTATTTAATTATAATATTTTTGATTAACATTATGCACAACCTGTCTGAAAGAATATGTGACTGAATAGGAAATTTCAGGTTAAAACATACACTACATTACCCACAACCTGTTTGAAAGAATGCTTGAAAGGATCCAAACATCATTAGCAACAAAGAGAGCATTGACAAGCTGATCCGTATTAACCGTTACGTGTTCTGATTCTCTAATGAGTTTTATGATTCTATTTGTATGTGTTAAAGGGAAAACCAGTGAAGCAGGATTACTTGGACAATGTAATATGTTCACAATCACATTTTATTATTATTATTATTATATGACATAATTTGGGTGGAACATTCATATATTCTAAACAACACACATTTCAGTTTTTCCCTTAGGCTTCTCATCAGAGATAGGACCTTCTTGGTTCAGTTCTGGCTTCTTATACTTGTACCAAGAAGAACAGAGTAAGTAGAAGCCAAAGTTCAGCACACTGACTGCTGCGAGCAACCAGTAGAAGTAGTCGAGCTTGTCTCTGTTCAAGTTGTTATTAGCTAACCAGCCACCACTCACCTTGTTGATTACACTCACCGCTACTGAGCTTGTGAAGTACCCGAATGCCAGTGAACACCAAGTAATGGCCATACTCAGTGATTTCATGCCTGATGTGCTCTCTGCATAGAAGAAATTCAACAGCCCTACCAATGTAAGTATTTCAGCTGTTGCAAATATTACAAATTGAAATCCAAGCCAGAACACACTCATAGGTAATTGACTGGCTGAGTCAACCATGTTATGCTCAATGGCAACTGATTTCCGGCGACTTTCTACAACTGCAGACACTGCCATAGATACTATTGAAAGTATTAGCCCAACACCTATACGTTGCAGTTGTCGAATCCCAGAAGGGATCCCTGTGAATTTTCTTGCTATCGGAACAAAGATACGATCATAGACTGGGATCATGATGAGTTGGAATATTTGAGGAATTACAGGTATGGAAGCCGCTGGGATTTCAAAGTTTCCGATTTTCCTGTTCATTGTCATGCTTTGTTGGATAGTGAAGGTCTGGAGTTGAGCCATACAAGTGTTCATGAAGACGGTGCTCAGTATAATTGGTAGCATTCTGACTACAATCTTTGTTTCTTCAACTTGTGAGATAGTACAAAGGCTCCATGGTCCATGAGCACTTGATGTGGATGCTTCGTGGTTGTTCCTTGGTATGGCTGCCCTGTCCAAGCATCTGTACATATTGTGGAAAATTTGGTTATGTAAAGCAACATGTCAACAGGAAACTGAAACTATAAAGGTGTTATTAAATACTTGAATTGATCAGTCCTTTGAATAATCTCTATTCCATTTTTAGCCTCTCCACTTCTGATCTGATGTAAATCTTCTTTGTTTTGTGGTAGTGGGAGATTTCTATTTCTGAAAGCTGCAACAAGAACCTGCGAAATGCGCATCAGAGGGCTTCCTTTAGGAACATTGTATCTGTAGAACTGTTTTCCCATGGTCAAGAGTAGGATTGACACACCAACTGCTACAGAGGAGATACCAAATGACCAATCCCATCCCTGATTGTCACCTATCCAAACAAACAATGTAACTCCAAGCATGGCTCCAATGGTGATGAAGAACAGCAGCCAATTGAAGTAACTTGATAGCTTAGCAGCCCCTTTGGGATCCTTTTCATCAAATTGATCAGCACCCAATGATGGCAAAGCCGCTTTTACTCCACTGTTTCCAAGTGCTATCAGATAAACACCTCCATACAAGATTGCCAATTGACCTGCATCTGCAGATTCACATCGATCGTTTTGGCTTAAAGGTACATCCTTGCAGGGAAATGGTCTCAGTTGGCTGAAATGTGCTTGAACTCCTAGTAGTGCATATCCCTAACATTGAAAGAATGATCAAAGTCAGTTCATGATCCTGCATGGACCTTTGAAATATATGTTTTTCTCTTTCATAGCGAAGATGTATAAATAAACAAGTACCAAAACTTGAATGATGCTAAATAGAACACAAGTCTTGAATCTGGAGAAGTAAGTATCTGAGAGAAAAGCTCCAAATAATGAGAGCAAAAACGCTGTTCCCATGAAGTTTGTCACAGTGTTGGCAGATTTTGTTAAGCTGAAGTTCATATACCCGGAGAAGTAAGTCACCAGGCTCACACCCTTTGAAATAAAAGCCATGGTATCAATCCCCGCCACAACTGCATAATCAGATATCAGAATATCAAAACTCCATAGTCAAAATCAGTGGCGGAGTCAGGATTTCTTGCGAGTGGTTTCGGTTAAGAAGTCCCACATCCATAGAGGGATGGGGATTTGGTCTCCTTATATGGACTTGGACAAATCGAGCTAGTTATTGGGATTGAGTTAGACCTAGGTGCCATATCTTTACATGGTATTAGAGCCAGACCCATCGAGTTAGGCCCATGTGCTATATCTTTATTCAAACCTACAACTTAAAGCAAAATTTGAGCTACTTTGACCACTAGAATGTAAAAGTTTCCCCTAAATTAAAAATACACTCATTATGGCCAACATTTAATCTCTATACACCACATAACTCATTATAGCTAACATTTAATCTCTATACACCACATAATTCCCTAGAGAAGGGTGTGCACTGTGCACCAGACCATCCTTCGTCTAAGGTGGCTCCGCCCATACTACTCCATATATAAGCATAATATTATTCTTCGACGAAGGGACTTCAATTGAATTCCGCTCTATGTCAAGAGAGTTAAACAATTATATACTTGAAATATGCTTACCATAGACAAAAAGAGCTGCTCTAGTTCCCCCCTTCTTTTGAAGTTGATTTTCTTCAGTCTTGACATTTCTGCAAATCCCCTGCAACAATTATCAAAATAAAACTTACATTTTAGCCAAACATTTCTTAATTTTGTAAAATACAATTTCTAATATTTCATATGCTAAAAACCATATAATTGCTAAGGCAAGTTACCATTTTGTTTGTAGCTTTTCTTTTGCTAAGCTAAACAGTTTGTTTTAGCTTCTGTCTGTACTATAAATAGACTACTAATAATGTTAAATATCTTCTTTTGGTACATTGGAAAATACTTAATTAAGTTTTTAAAAAATCTTTCATAATGTTAGTTGTATCCATACCATGTACAGAAAATCACTAATTATTTGTTAGTTGTTTTTGTGGTACCATCACTCAAAACAACTTTATAATTAAGTAGTGGTAGATACTAATATTCCGTGCAAAAATCATTGTTATATAGATTTCACGAATCAATTTTACCCACTCAACAAAAAAAAGTAGTAATAAAAAAAAAAAAAAAAAAAAAAAAAGAGGAAATGGAAGAAACGAATAGGGAAAAAGCAATAAACAAAAAAATTAAAATCAAACAGTAAAACTAAATGATTTGATTGAAAATGAAGCTGAGATACTATATGGGTGGTTTGATATGGTGGACAAGTATAGATAGTTTTGAAATAAGAAATTAATATAGCTTTATTCTTTATTTGGTTACTAATCTTGCAGAAATAAGTTATACCATGATTAGTAATTAGTATCAAGATAAGTTATACTTGCCGGAGGATACACTACTCTATTTCATAGGCTTTTTTCGCCGTGAATCAATGGAAAATTCATATTATAGAACATGATTTTTCTATCAAACCAGCTCACTCGAAAAATGTATGGTGGAAAACAGTTTCTCGCTAAAATAGTGGGAAGTTTCCTAACTTTTTTTGTGTGAAAAACATTTTTTTTCTCAGTGATTCAATCAAAATATATGTGAGAATAGCCACAAAACATTTTCTAAACATTTTTTCAGTAGAAAAATATTGATTATTTTTTAGTAGTGATGGAATAATAGTATTGAAATTAATTATCTCAAAATAAAATAATAAAAATGACAAAAACACTCATGAGGTACCTAACCTTTTTTCTACTTTAGATAAGGTGGAAGATATTTCTGTATATAAACAACTTTTAAAAAAATTGAGAAAAATGCATAAGTACCCCCAACTTATGCCCGAAATTCAGAGACACACTTATACTATACTAAGGTCCTATTAGCCCCAAACTTATTTTATAAATAATTTTCTATCCCTTTTCGGCCTACGTGACACTATTAACTAGATAGCTTGAAAAAATTGTCAACACGCGCTGGACCCAAAAGATAGTGTCACGTAGGCCGAAAAGGGGTAGAAAATTATTTATAAAATAAGTTCGGGGGTAATAGGACCTTAGTATAGTATAAGTGTGTCTCTGAGATTTCGGGCATATGTTGGTGGGTACTTATGTATTTTCCCAAAAAATTGCAATACATACTTTTTTTGGGAAAATGCACAAGTACCCCCCCAACCTATGCCCGAAATCCCAGAGACACGCCTAACCTTTACTAAGGTCCTATTACCCCCCTGAACATAATTTATCTATAATATTCTACCCTTTTTCGGCCTACGTGGCACTATCCTTGAAAAAATTGTCAACATGCGCTGGGCCCACAAGATAGTGCCACGTAGGCCAAAAAGGGGTAGAATATTACATATAAAATAAGTTCGGGGGGGGGGGTAATAGGACCTTAGTAAAGGTTAGGTGTGTCTCTGAGATTTCGGGCATAGGTTGGGGGGGTACTTATGCATTTTCCCTACTTTTTTTAATACAACAAGACCAAGTAGTCAATAAAAACTATCTCAAAATAACATATCTCAATATAACTAATTACAACATAACTTGTCTTTGGAAATATAATTGTAATGATTTTATAACTATATTATTGTCGAATTAGTGGACAATCATGTGACTTATTTTTTTCTCCTCCTCATCCTTGTTTTAGGCCACAAAGTGTGCTTAATTGCGACGCAATTTTGATATTAAAATGGACATTAATAAACTCAGAAACCATTAAGAATGATTTTAATATTATTGTCATTAGCTATGGCCTATGGGTCAAATAATGATTGTTCATGGGTGATATCATAACCTTTTGGAAGTTTGAGGAGCTCCACATAGCCAAGATTTTTAATAGGAAAAGGCATAGATTCCTTTTCGAATTTGTCCCAAAAAATCAGTTACACGCTTAAACTATCATGGTGACCTATTACACACCTTAACTACTCAAAAATGACTTTATTACTACCCTGAGACATGTAACACCACTCTCACATTATGTGGTGTATTAAACTCGCTGCCACATCAGCGCTACGTCAGCATCATGTCATAAATTATAATTTTTTGTTTTGTTTTCTTTATTAATTATCTTTTCTTTTGTTAACTATATTTTACTCTAACTAATCCCTAATTAATTATTTTAATTCTCTAATAATTATATCTTCTTCATCACTAATCCCACCCATTTTCAATTCTCATTTCATCGGAAAATCATATCCGGCCCCACCTTCACTATTGATTTTGTTCTTCACCACCACTATATCACCTTCAATTCTTCTTTTTCTTTGTCACCAACACCAAATATCACCACCATCATTATAAATATCGATTTTTTCTTCTTCACCGCCTTCAATTACCTCTTTTAATGTTTGTCACCTGCCACCTATCACCACCAAACCCATAAAGTTGCTATTACCACCAAAATAAAAAATTGATGAACAACCAATTTTTTTTTAACAAAGTCAAAAAAAATAAAATGAAAAAGATAGAAACAATCAATCAAATTTTTTCTAGATAAAATACAATTATTCACTAACAAATCTATGAGAATTAACCTAATTGCGAATAAAAAAAAATTGTGCTTTAAGATTGTGATAAAAAATAAAGAAGTGTAATGAAAATAAAGAATGAAGAAGAAGAGGACAATGGGTGGGGTTTGAAGAAGAAGAGGTGTGGGTGGAAAAGAGGATTCTCTAACTTTTAAAAAAAAAATTAATTTCAAACTGACGCACCTAATTTTTATTTTTGTTTTATTTTTTTGCCACGTCAGTTTTAGGGGAAAAGAAAATTCACTTTTGAATAGTATAGGGGTGTAATAGGTCACTATATTAGTTTAAGTGTGTAACTGACTTTTCGGGACAAGTTCAAAGGGAAATTTATACCTTTTCCCTTTTTAATATAAAAACGTGAACACCCAAGAATCTATCGGGATTTAACATCAGTATACATAAAAAATAGTTATAACCTTATATATAGTGTATTTTTTTGACGAAAATATTCAGATGAACCACTTGAACCCCTAACTCTGCCCTGCTTCGTAGAACATATGCAATTTTATGGTTAACAATACCTTTCAATTGTTTGTTTCGATTTTTCCTTTCGAGTCTTTTCGTCTTTGAAGAAAGAGTATGATCAAACAGGGGAGGGATTCATGATTTAAGTTTTATGGTTCAATCTTAATGTGTTTAGAACTTATTCTACTTTCGATATTATGAGTTTAAATGATTTTTCACATACGTCTAAACTACTCTGTGTCGAAAATACTGAGTTTCAGGTGAACTTATATAGTATAGTAGTATATTCCATGAACAATGCAGGAAGCATAAGATTTCATATGATTATGTGCTCTCAGGCATATATTATTAAGACTGAATCAATCAACATTATTATGTAAAATTCCTAAACTATGCTCATTTCAATCTTCCCTTTGCCCTCCTTAACCTTATTACTAGGGACATTGTCTTCTGGATTCACATCTACCTTCTTGTATTTATACCATGAAGCACAGAGTAAATAAAACCCGAAATTTAGCACACTTAATCCTGCTAGCAACCAATAAAAGTAATCAAGCTTGTCTTTGTTCAAGTTGTTGTTAGCCAACCATCCACCACTTACTTTGTTCACTACACTCACTACTATTGAACTTGTGTAGTATCCAATTGCCAGTGAAGACCAAGAAATCGCGGTACTTAGTGCTTTCATGCTTGATGAGCTCTCTGAATAGAAGAAATCAAGCAACCCCACTAATGTAAACATATCGGCTAGACCAAAGATTGCATATTGGTAGCCTAACCAGAAGACACTCATTGGCAATGGAGCGGCAGATTCAACCATGTTGTGTTTAATGGCAATTGATTTTCGGTGTTTTTCTACAATTGCAGCTACTGCCATTGACAAAGATGAAAGTACTAGGCCAACACCTATACGTTGCAGCTGTCGAATCCCTGTTGGTATCCCTGTGAATTTCCTTGCTATTGGTATGAAAACGCGTTCGTAGATAGGGATCAGGATGATCATAAAAAGCAGGGGAATTGCAGGAATTGAAGCCCCTGGAACTTCAAACTTGTGGATTTTTCTGTCCATTGTTGTGCTTTGTTGGATGGTGAATGTTTGGAGCTGAGCCAAACATGTGTTCATGAAGACAGTACTTAATATAATTGGAAGCATTCTGACTACAATTTTTGTCTCTTCAACTTGTGTGACAGTACAAAGTTTCCATGGTCCATGTGCATTTGATGTGGATGCCTCCTGATCAGTCCTGTTTATCGCTGCCCGGTCCAAAAACCTGAAAATATTTCAGGGATTTTATCATTTATGCTGTATCAAATATCAACTAAAACATAAATTGAGAGATAGTAAAATGTGTTAACCTACTTGAATTGTTCAGTTTTTCGAAGAATCTCAGTATCATATCTAGCTTCCTTATCCTGAATCTCGTGTAACTCGTGTTCATTCTCTGGCAAACGAAGATTTCTGTTTCTAAGTGCTACAACAAACACCTGCATGATACGCGTAAGGGGGCTTCCTTTTGTGACATTGTTTCTATACAATGATTTTCCCAATGTTAGAAACAGAATTGAGAAGCCTACTACAATACTGCAGACAGCAAAAGACCAATCCCATCCTTGATTCTCACTTATCCACACGACAAACGTGACACCAAACAAGGCACCAGTGGTGAGAAAGAACATAAGCCAATTGAAGTAGCTTGATAGTTTAGCAGCCTGTTTAGGGTCCTTCTCATCATACTGATCAGCTCCTAAAGGTGGTGCTGCTGCTTTGACTCCACTGGTCCCAATTGCAACTAAATAAAGTCCCGCGTACAAGATTGCCAGTTGACCTTTATTTGCAGACTCACATTGGTTCATTTGGCTCAAGGGTACATCCTTACAAGGAAATGGTCTTAGTTGCCTGAAATGTGCTTGCACTGCTAGAAGTGCATACCCCTGAAAGTGAAACATCCACGTAAGGGTCGTTTGACTTAGCTGAGTAAAAGTAACCGATAGAAGCGTTGAAACTGATAATAAGCAGGGGGATGGGGGGACGGGAGGATTAACTTACAACGACTTCAATGCAGCCAAACAGAACACAAGTCTTGAACCTGGACAAGTAAGTATCCGAAAGGAAGGCACCAAATAATGATAGCAAGAATGCTGTTCCCATGAAGTTTGTAACAGCAGTAGCTGATTCTGTTATGCTGAAGTTCATAAATCCATAAAAGTAAGTCACCAAGCTCACACCAGTTGCGAAGAAAGCCATGACATCGATTCCCGCGATAGCTGCATGGTTAAAAGATTACCAAATATTATCAACACTTTGAAAGCTAGTTGTTCTTATTACATTAAGTTATGCCTTTATTTTTACCATATGCAAATAAAGCTGCTCTATTTCCCCCTAGCCTTGGTGGTTGTTTGGGTTCAGTCTTGACATCTCTGCACATTCCCTGCATATAAGTAAACACAAAACTAATTAGCCATAAATTCCATGCATGATTTTGAGCTATGTATGTTGCTTGGACTCTTCAAAAATGCCAACATGTGCGTGTCAGATCCTCCAAAAGCAGTGTATTTGGAGAGTCCGAGCAACATAGATTTTGAGTCATTGAAAGATTTTTCTCTAGGAGAGCTTACCATTTTGATGTTGGAGTTTTCCTTCAAGCACCAAAATGTGAAATATGGATATTGCTAGTTTGAAAGGTTTCTATGAATGTTATAGTATATTAGTATCATAACTCTTCCTTTATATAGTAGAATGAAAAGATATAATCTTTCACATAGGACAAGAAAAGATATAAAAGGAATCAAACTGCATATTCATATTTGAGAATTAACTAATGAGTTTGTATAAGATAAACAAACACCTTAATCACATAGTAGTGTTTGACTAAGTTTATAAACTGATCAAACTGATATATAAGTGCTTTCTTGGCTTATCTACGAGTTTGGTCATAAGTTAGTTACCCCTAACTTACGACTTTTCAGCGTATAAACACTTTTAGTTTGTCCAAGACATTTACTATTTTATTCTTAATATTTTTTTTAATTTCAAAATATCTTTCCCAAAATAAAGCCTCTAATTTCCTATTCGTTGTGTATCCTGCATCCGTGGTTTCTCCTTTTCTTTAAAAAAAAAAATAATTTAAATTTGTAACTTTTTTTATAATAATTTTAAGGTTATATTAGTCATTTTTAGATAAAAAGTCAGCTTTTAATTATCAGTTTCAGCACATCAACATAAAAGTAACTGCTTATTTATAAAATGAGTTTCAACATTAAAATTTTATCAGCTATTTACAATCCGCTAATCCAATCGGGGTGGAATACTCATTAGTGAAAACTAGGCAGTACATTCCAAATACTAGTATATTTCTTCTTTTCATTTGCAACATGGAGTTAATCAAACAAATGGTTGTAATTTTTTTAACTCCCAAACAGTGATGTTTATATAGACATTTCTGTTCTCATTTGGTCAAATGGTATCTTAAACTGAGTAAAGGGACAATAAGTATCAGATTAACATTTGGTCCAAATTTGTTTTTTCTACCGTTAAAACCTTAAGCTTGATTATGTCAATATTGTTAATCCCCTATTAAAAAATGATTTGAAAAGGATTAAAGTCGGTGTAAGCAAATTAGTAGGTCAACTTGGCTCTGATGCTGAATTGTAACTTAGCATTTTGACACTCACTTTAGGACAAAGACTAACATTATAAGGCTAGAGATACATAGATGGCAACATATATATACTTAAAATAATTTGAACGTTGGTTTTTTAAGAAAAATCGACGCCAAATCATCGGCTTTGCCTTTGTTGCTTAGCTACTTGGAATTGAATTCAGATATTTTCTATGAGTTTGGACAATTCCACCATTCGACCGCACATGCTCTTTAATGAAATATTTTCATAGTTTTTATGTTTTTTAGTAGTGTTACACCGTAGATTTGAACCCAAGAATGTATATGAAGAAGATAAAAATTGTAAAAAAGAGAAATTTGTTGATAGTTAACAGTTAACACTATATTGCCGGCTTTGTCATCTATCAAAGGCATAAAACTCTTGAAGTTCCACTGGAATATTCAAGAATCAAGCTCAACTTGATCATTTTTTAAACAATAAATATCAAAAGTTGACTGCAGTATACATATAAAAAGATAATTTAAGATGAAGTGTTAAAGACAGAAACGTTTTAACTAAAACTGAAGTATCTCAGAGTTTGGTGAAACTGATGAATCAAAGTCGTCAGCTATCTTCTGTTTTCCCTACAAAAGTCGTTCTGATACTCACCGCACTGAGTATTTACACCAAACCAATTCAACTTACTATGGTTAAGTGATTTAATAAAGTAAAAATGTTCATTAATTAACTATGATTCAGTAAGATAAGTGTATGTACAAACATTCATTGATTTGATGTAAACACTCGGTTTGTATTAAGCATAAACCAGAGTCAATTATGTAAGATCCAACATAGTTACAAACATATATCAGAAAACTTGTTATTCAGAAATATAAAGCCACTCAACTTTGTCCTAATTATCAATTTTTGTTCCTTACAATTACTCGATTTTTGTGGCTTTCCGTGTGGGCTAACCAGCAAGAGGATTCATCACGCTCCCTAGGAACAACATTACACCAGTAGATTCATCTCTTACAAGGAACAAGAATGGATGGTCTGCGACAAAGTCAATTTCCTTCTCAATGCTCACGCATTGAGACTGCTGCAACATTACTATGACAGCGGTAACAGCTGCAGCTTCAGTTCCTTCCTCATTTACCTCAATGAAGGACTTATGATAAACATCTGAAACAAACAGTTTCTTAGATATATGGGAATCAACCATTTCAGTGAGACCACCCGGATAGAAAGGTGACTTGAGGCCAAGCCCCCATAGAACTTTAGTAGCTTCAAACCCGAAAGTTATTTTGAATTTAGGGATGAGAAATTTGCGTGCTTTAACTTTTTCATATGGAAAATGCCGGTTTAAAAATCCAGGTTCTGAACTGATTTTGTCCAGTAAAGCTGGTAATCCATCACGGGCATCAGGCAGAATGAAATACATGCAGAAGCGACGAGTGTCAGTGCCCTGTTTATAAGGAAGTCTCAACATTTTAAAGCCATCAAAGGCTGTTATGTACTGCTCCTTCTGGCTAGTCATGAAGGGTGCTCGAACAGTCCCTTCATTGAGGAGATGGAATTCATGGTCTTTTGTTTCGAAAGCATAGAACTTCTCATTCCATTCTCCCTTAAAATATAGTGCATTGGCAAAGATGAGCCTCGTCATTTCATCCACCGCGTCTGGAGGAAGAATCTCTTTGATGAGATCATTTGTCTTCATTTTAGCCCACTGATTCACTTGATTGGCAGCCTCAGCAGGCTTAACCAATTAGTAAGACAAACACAGAATGATAAAATCAGCACACTGTATATGTTTTACCCTACAATTCCTTTTCAATAAAGCTAACAAAGGAAGATTATGGTTAAAAAATAATTGATGACAGTATTAATCAAGAGTATGTGAGATTTTTGCTGATTTAATCCAACAAAGGAAGATTATACTACTTGAGGCAAGAGCCGTTGAGAAGGCTAATCAACATAAGTTGTGTCCTAATTGTTTTGCTTTGTACTCTTCCAAAGTTATATTGATCCTTCAATCTGTATCTCACTCTTAAACGAGTTAGTGGTTGGTAATATTGTTCATCAATGTCTATTTCATATGATAATATTTAAGGGTGTGTTCGGTATGGAGGAAAACTTTATTCAAATTTTCCCATGTATTGTTGATTTAGACAAGTTCCTTAAAATAAAAAAAAATGATTTCTGATGAATGAATGGAATACTAGACTCAATATAAGGGCTTGAACAATCCTACTTTCTTTGACATAGTTTTTAAGATTCGAGTCAGGTCTTAAGCTTAATTTGACATAGTATATCATGGATAGACCTGATGTGGGCCCTAATGAAACAGGACAGTACCACAGTACATCTCCTTTCTTTGAGCTAGCTTTTCGGGTGTGAGTTAGGCTCAAAAACTCACACCCTCCAACACACCTCCACTCCATATAGCATTGTCTGAATTATATATAAATATTTTTTCCGTATTCCAGTGAAACAAAATGAATAGACGCATACCTTGTTCTGAAAATCAACATACTCGGAAGCGGCCTTGTAAACATTATCCACAACATGTTTGAAAGAATGCTTGAAAGGAAGTGATTGGTCGATCCAAACACCATTAGCAATGGACAAACACGGACCTCCATTGGGGCTTCCATCAACAAAGACGGTGTCGACAAGATAAGAATAAAGAGAGTTGAGTTCATTAATTGATTTTGACTTGAGAAAACAGAGCAGCTGATCTTGAGTTGGTCCATTAGAGCCAGCAGCAATGAGGCCAAGTGCTATTTGAATTGAGAGAGGAGAGAGCACCAGATTGGTATCGCCATTAACCTCTTTTGAGAAAATGTGCTTAACAAGCATGAAAGAAACGTCCGTCTGATTGGTGATCGACTCCTGGAGATCCATATTTGCTTGCAAAGAAGAAGGGGTTGACTTATCAATCAAATGGACACCCATTACCACTACACCAAGAATATAGTTTTTTGTCAACGGTGTCCAATTTTAACTATATATTCTTTAAATATAAAATTTGACACAGACTCTGATTCAATACGGCAATTTGTTCGAGAAGCTTAGAGGTAAACAAAGAGCATAGAAGAGAATAAAGTGTTGCGCCATTCTGGGAAAAGACTTCAGCATTTATGTTCTCGGTTAAAAGTTTGGTTCGTTTAATACTGGGTACGTGTAATCCAATTTTATTAACCACAAAATTTTAAAAAATTACATAAATATTAGTATTAGGAAACATGTTTGAGTTATAAATTATATACTCCATTTGTCCTAATTTATGTGACACTTTTCATTTTTCGAGAATCAAACAGTTTAAGTTTGACCGGGAATTTGCACATGAAATCTTCAATTTTTTTGAAATGAAATTTATATATTCGTAAGCTACGTAAAAAGTATTATAAGTCATAATAATTGATAATTCAAAATATTTAAAAGATCTATGAAAAATTTACGGTCAAGGATAGACTTGTTTGAATCTTGAAATTCGAAAAGTGCCACATAAAATGAGACGGAGGAAGTACTAAAGAAGAAGTGCAAATTTTTAAAGTGATATTTTAATCCTTCATGATGAGCTCTCTAAAAGGAAGAAATATTTCTCAAAGAAATCCTTGGTTTTCTTACTTTGATTTCTAATTTCGCCTTTAATTAACTAAGTTACTGGACCTTGTTTCTTTTGGTATAATATACAATCTCTTCTCTATCTATTGATTTGGCAAAAATAACATTTTTAAATACCAACACTCAAGCCGAAAGGATTTGAGAAATAGAACATATGTTTATATAATTACCTCCCATCCAACTAAAAATACCTTTTGTGTAATTATGTTTTTAGTGTCATATGTATTTTTTTAATTTTTTTTTGTGAATTTGATTAAAAGTAATTTTACCTAAGGTGTGTGTATACATATTGAATATATATGTATATATATTGAATATTTAATATGCATCAATTAAATATTGAATAAGGTATATATAATTTAATAAATAATATGACATGTTAAAACAGTTGGAAGCTAAAAGTGAAGAAAATAAATGCATGACACATATTAAACTTGTAAATAAAAAGTTCATATCGAATTTGTACATGTCTAAAGGTAGATGAAAGGTCTTTCCAATTAAATTTAATAGACAATTAATTTTTATTAAAAAAAAATGATAAATATACTTTTAAAAGACACTTTAGTAATTCAATTTTTGACTTAAGACTCTTTCCACTTTTAACAAAATGATCTTGCTGACTTATATTACTAAAATCTAAACAAAATGAAACCTAATAACTGCATTCTCATAACATTTTTAATTTACATGATTTCAATTTGAGGAATAGTTTTTAGTAGTGAAAATTTCTAATATGACATATATTATACTAATATTTTCGAGTTATAGCAGTAGATTTAGACTTTCAAGTTATAACATTAAAAATTTCAGGTTGTAACAGATAATTAAAAAAAAGTTATTTTTAATAATTAAAAACATTTGATTTGAAAAGAATAAAAAGATTTTTAAAAAAAAAAGTTTCTGAAGGAAAAAATGCAAAAAAGGGAAATATGGGTGGCAATTAAATTTGAATTAATTTAAGATAATTATTAATTAGCATGATTTAAGGAAGTTCAAACTAATTAAAAATATTCAGTTTCCTTAATTCACTCCAATTTGTTAAAATTAATTTTAAAATATGATTTTATCCATTTTTCTTTCACATTTCTCTCTCTTCGATTTTCTTCCAGAAATTGCCACTGGCGACAAATTGAATTTTTTTTTTGTTTGAAAAAACCTTTTTTTTTTTATGGACAACTACGTATCAATATTAATTAAACATGGCGGAAGATGGGTTGCTTCAGGTGAGTATTTTTAATTGTTTACCATTTTTATTTGGATTTCAGTGAAATAAAAAACAAAATGAAACTGTAAATCGTCACTATATTGAATGTGATATATTTTTTTGTATATACAATACGTTTTGTTCATAATACTTATTAGTTGTTGTGAAACTGTAATATTAGTGATTTTCTTGGTAAGTTTCTGTTTTTTTAGTAGTGGTTTAGTGTCACCATATTATTGATTACTGGTTTTTTTCTTGGTAAGTTTCTGTAATATTATTGATTACTGGTTTTTTTCGTGAAAAAATAAATTAAAATTTATAGTTTTGAATGAATTTGTTAGTGTAAGTGTAATGAATTTGGTACGAAAGTGTTTACTATTTACTTAATAAATTACAATTAATTGTTAAAATTAGTATTATGTTTGTATTATATTGACATGATTCTGCTGTGAAAAAATTTACGATTTATGGGATGAAATAGTAATAATGTTAGCATGATATATGTATGAAAAGTGTGCCAAAAAATGTATGAAATATGTATACTCTATTCTATAATGTTTTATGGTATGATTTCTGGATTGAATGGATTTTTTTTTGGCATTATTATGGAATGTAATTTGATAATAATAATGTAATGAATTTGGTATACTGTTTAATTAAGAAATTACAATAAATATTTATAAGTTGGAGTTGGAATTATTTTGGTATTCTATTGGCATGATATTGGTATGAATAATTGATGACAATTGAGTAAAAATCTGTAGGAAATGTGTGTATAAGAATTGTATAAAGTTTGTATACAAAGATAACACATGTATTATTTTTTTTTGTATTGAAGATGCATATGTGATCCCTGTTGAACCTCTCCCATGCGAGAGTATGTGGGATATACCAAGTTATGTTTCTGAGCCTAAGTTGTTGCTGTCTGGTTCAAAAAGAACTGTAGGATGACCACAACTTGAACGCTGGAAGGGATTTGCTAATGTGAAATTCAAAAGGTCTAAAGTTACTTGCAGTACATGTCATCGAGAGGGCTACAACAAGAAGACGTGTTAAAATTACCCTACGCCAAAAAAAATCATAATTTATAAATTGTGACAAAATCATGTATTTTGTTTTATTTTGTCTTTTAAACTCATGTTTTGCTTTGATTGTGACAGTGTATTCATTGTTTTTTAAAATATATATTGAGTAATTTATTAAGTAATAATGGTATGCAATTGGTATTCATTTGGTATGCAACTGAATCCACACTGATATTAGTTAATGTAATTTACAATTAGTATTCATTTGGTATCCATCTGGTGTCCCACTTGAAAAAAATATATAAAACAAGATGTAATTGAGGTGGGTACATAATATAATGATCATTGTTTTACATTGTCAAATTCATTTTTCAATATTTATAAAAGTTGGATACCAACTTCATACATTTTTTATTTTTTAGCTTTTGTCTTAAATTTTGAAGTAAAAAATACCAATCATATATGAATTGGATGCCAATTATATACAAGTTGGATCCCAATTAAATGAAACTTTGATTTCATGTAATCTAAATTGGTGTTCATTTGATGTTGAATTAATATCCAAACTAAAACTATTTAATATTGAATCCAATTGGTATGCAATTTGTATATAACTGGTATCCCGAAATTATAAGAGACAAGCTGTAATTCATCTTTGGATGACAGTGTATACAAATTGAATACCAATTAAATGACACTCGTATTTCATGTAATCTAAATTGGTGTTCATTTGGTTTCGAATTAATATCGAAAATAAAACTATTTAATGTTGTATCCAATTGGTACGCAGTTTGTATAGAACTAGTATCCTGAAATTATAAGAGAAAATCTGTAATTCATATGTTAACAAATCTAGTCAAGTTTAAAAATGTATATGAATTATTTGGTACTATGTTTATGAGGTTTTAAAAAAAAACTAAAGTCCAACAAAAATCTGGCAAATATTGATATCCAAATTGTATACAGTTGGTATCCAACTTGAGAACTTTTGACAAATTTAAAATAAAAATGAATGTAGTTGGTATCTAACCAAAAGAAAACAGTGCATATTATATATCATCCAAAACTTAAAACTGTAGCAAAAATAAATATATATCGTCCAAAAATTAAAAAAACATATAATAGTCTAAGTTGCAATCAACTATCTCAAATTTGATTTCTGTGGTCTTGGTGTAGGATAATTGTTGGTATCCGGAGCATGTTCTTTTACTATGCGGAGTCCACCAAATTTGCTAGCAACAGTTCCAGTTACTTCACTCTCACTAATTGGCCATATCGTTCTTGGTTTTTTCGTACTGCCATATGATTGTGGTGTACTTTTGACGATGGTACCTTGCATCTATATTAATGGAACCCATATCACTGAAATAAAATTGAAAGAAAAATAATTTTGTGAGATAAAGTGAACTAATTTTTCTGATGAAATCACTAAAAAATAGAAATACATACTTTGAACTTGGCTCTTGTTGAGGCACATTCTCTAGATGCTTGACTTCGAGTGGGTCGAATTGAGACTTGTCAACATATGCAGGGAGAAACAGTTTCTATGGAAGATTATTGAAGAGGTGAAATCTGTTGTTTCTTTTGATTGTAGAATGATTTTTTTCTGATTTAAGAGGTGTAGAAACGGTTTATATGGAAGATGATTGAAGAGGTGAAAGAGGAATTGGTAATTTTTGAACATGGGGTGGTGGGGTGCTGACTAGAACAAGTGTGGTAACAGGAGGAGTGTGGGTTTGACGTGTAACGTTAAAAAAGGAACAAGAATCAAGGTAAAATCCCTAAAAATGTGTAAGAGATAATTATGGTAGATTCTTTAATTATATTATTTAATAATAAATATAAAATTATAAAAGACTAATTATTTAATAAAGTAAAATTAAATTAATTTATAAATAAAAGGTGATCTGTTATAACCCGTAATTAAACTGTTATAAGCAAGAATATTTTAAAAGTAGATTTAAAACCTGTAATATTATCCCTTAAATATATATGTGGCGTGATTTTTCCTTTTTAGTAGTAACAATGAAGGGTCCAAGGAATTCATA